ACCCTCCCCTTTATGACTTAGTGTCTCTAGCCCTGTAGGCAGGCTCTGGCCTGATGAGCTGCCTACAGTAAAATAATTTACATAAATGGATGTGATTGGATGAGAAACAACAGAGGATCTGCTACAGAAGCTGCAGTGTTTCGTGTTTAAAAAACTAGTGTCTCTGAACTATGGCCCATTTTTTTCATACATTTATAGCTTTGCTACGGTAAGTGCTCAGTACTTTGCTGATTCTGCATCCGGACTACTCTCCACCAGCTGATGAACCCTGAGCTAAAGGCTTCTGTCTGGTAATATGTCCTAAAAGGAGGATGCTGTAAAAGAGTGTGAGGGTGTGTGTTTGTCTGCAGTGTATGTGTTGGTGTAAATCTGTATTTCCAAGATGAAAGTTTTGGGTCACTCCTTATTCTCTCACAGTCGGAGCTAGAAGTGATGCTCATATTTAGACTGGGCTCGCTGAGACTGACTCATAAGTTTGCGAATGCAGACTGGGTATCACATTCTTTCTCCACCCAGCAATCCTGTAATCTCACCTAATTTTAGGTGGAATTACTACACCATTGCCTCTGTCTGGGGGTCTAAAGTGTGTTATGGGGGCTTTTTTGTGTGGCACAAGGCTATGTGTAGGTGGGGCAGAGGGACAGAGGGCTGGCTCTGACACAGGGGTCTTTGTGCATGAGTGTCCAGGGAGCACATTCCCCTTTCTCAAAACCAAACCCCTTCTGCCTATGACATCATAGCCCATAGCCAGACAAGGCAAGAAATCAGAGAGGCAGAGAGAAGAGAGGCATTGTAGAGGAGAGGAGGAAATCAGGAGGAAACAGCACATGGAGGGTGAGTGAGGTGTGCCTCTGGTTCATATACACACTCAGAAGGAGGAGGAGGAAAAGAGGGAAATAGAAGGAGTAGCCAGGAAAAGGCTTGTGTTGTGCTAGGCAGAGTTTCATTGGCTTTCTCAAAGACCAATAGTACTTTATATGAAGAGCTTTATTTGAGTCATGACTGCCCTACAGTGTAAGGATGTTAAAAGGGAAATTTGGTCTTGAAGCTAAGAGTTTATCATTTGCCTGGATGGAAAGGGACTTTCAGTTTTGATTCTCCCTTCACTGATTGGGAACTTTGCCAAGTGAGCGACTGAAGACTAAAAGAGGTGTTGGAGGGAATTCATTATTAAAAGGTAAATTTGGCACATCAATATCTCCATCTTTGAAATGCTGTTTAGCTCACTGTGTTCGTGCCAAAATGCTAAAACCCGGGCAAGTTTTAAGAGTCTGAAATAATTCTGGTCAGTCCGATGTGGTCAAGTCACATCTCGCTAATGTTTTGGTCATTCAAACCGAGCTGTTGTTTTTAATTCCTATCTTGGTGAGTAGTGGTTTCTGAAAAGAGAATGAGACGGATTCTAATTTGAGGATTTTTCTGTCAGCAGCACCGTTTGATGCTCCTTTGATTGCTTTCTGTGCTTTCTGTCAGCCACTCAAACCCTCAGAGCGCTGGCCAAAGGCTTCTAGCATTACCGACATGCTTTCAGCAAGTTTTGTTTGACCAAGCTATTCACCAACCCAGTGTGTCTTCATAGAATCACCATTGGCTGATCTGCATTAAGGGACGTTTGACTGTGTTAATCATGTGTAATCTGTTAATCATCTCCAGATGGTTTTAATGTTAACATGTCAAGAATGTTACAAAAATGTAAGGAGTGATATCTATCTAAATGCTGTTTCGGATGGTCTTGTTTATTTTGCGCACACATACACACAGAAACACATGCTTTCATTAGACGAGCCAGGGCTGCGTATTCTTCATCGCTTGTATTAGGCAGCGGGAGCCTCGAGGACAGCTGAGCTATGCTGGGAATGTCAGAGGCGGCCCAACAGGCGTCCACATCCCCCCACTGAGAGTGAGACTTATTACAGCCTAAGATGCCAAGAAGCATGACCAGGACTGAGACATAGAGAAAGTGAGAGAGAGAGAAGGGGAACATGCTGGGGTCACAAAACTCAACAAGGCACTCTCTAAGTTAGGGAGTATTGGCTGGAGTGGGGACAGGTTTGGACAGGAAACGCATGGCCAGCGAGCCGCCACAGACATCTCAGAGGGGGCAGTTTCCATCTATCTGTCCTTATGCCAAATTAAAAAGGTGATGGAGATTTGAAAATTGCAGCTTGTTTGTGTTGGATTTGTTGCCCTGTTGATAAAGGGACCATGATATGATGGCGATGTAATTGCATCATCTTGTTGTGGCCTCATTCATATTATATTCACAAACCTTTTCAGCCTTTCTTTTTCTGATGAAAACGTACTGTGCCCACTAGGAATTGGTTGAGACTAGAGGTGTGTATCAGGACTGGGATCCTGCAGGATGCAACAAAAAAGTTGCCAAGCAGGAAGTTTTACTTTCAGCCGGGCACGAGTGAGCAGTCAGATATCACGCTTCAAGTATGTGCAGCATCGTATGTTGCATTTACAGCATCCTTATTAACTGCCTGGTCAGGGTTGCAACGGTTTAAATTAGGCTACTAGTTTGTTTATAGTTTGTTTAAAATATCATAGGCAAGTATACAAAAATAATGACATCTGTAGTACTGGCATTTCTACATTTTGTAGAACTCTACACTGTTTTTTCCTGTGTGTTTAGTTTAAATATTAAACAGATACAGGTAGAGACAGTGTCATTGCATTACACTCATCGTATTCATTGAGAACAATAACAATCCCATAATACAATACAATAAATAGTCCTTCAAAAATAGCCCATTAGAAATGCTGTTGCTAAAGGGATTGGAAGCCCATTTTATGTGGTAAGGATTCATCTTCCTCATTTGATCTACATTTGTGTTGCAAATGTTGTGTTGATTTTTTTATGGTTTGGGTTCAGAGGTCAAATGATCAAGCTCCTTCCAGTCCCCAGATGAGTGTTGCACCGTCAACAACATTGTCAGAGTTCATCAGTAAAATTACCAGCTTTGAGTCAGTAGATTAATCTTCTGTGACTTGGAGAGGCTCATATGACAGAAAATTTCAACATTGACTCAGAGGTATACTTAAAAGCAGGAGGGCGTATCGAGGAGATGGATCATCCTGTGGTAGTGAACACACCCTGAGGCAAAGACGAGTGGGAGAGAACAGGGACTTTCATTGAAAACAGTCTGATATAAAGACACATTACAGACATGCCACATGACCCCTGCCAGTGTGTATAAACAGTGCCTCGAAGACAGTGAGGCAAGCGTTTCATTGGTATTAGTGTTTCTGTTAAACAAAACCAAAGATTATCTGGTGCAGGTATGTTTTAGGGTTATAATGGCACTGAAAATGTTTTATGGAGAGAATTGCAGAACTTACACTCACACACTTGCTTTGTTTTTGCAGAGGTTAGTTTACAAAAGAGACCTGGGAATAAGTGTTGAAACTGGAATGATCTGACTTCCTGGAAGTATGAGAATGTAGGTCCTAATCAAATTCACATTCTGAAGAGCACTTCAGAATGTTTAGGTAAACATGGATAACATGATATCCAAAAATAATATGATGCATGTCTCCTGATTGATATACCTATTCTTTTTATCCAGAGAACCTTAAGAGAAAAATGCCATGTTTTATCACAATTATATTGGCCTCATTCCAGTGCTATGTAAACTACCCTTTTTGTGTCCATGGACACATAGACAATAGAACACTTAAAGGATATATGGGCTTGCTGTGAGTTGATACATACGGTATAATTCTTCTTTCTCACTGCTTGTTATGAGGTTTGTTTAGCAGCACCTGTGTTATTTACAGACTAGAGGCCTTTAACAAACACTAATCGTTAACCAACAGGGAACTGCTGAAACTGCTCAGACATGCACACCTACGAGTAAAACGTAATTGCCGAGCAATTGAATTTCTGTTGTTGACTGAACCTATTGTCAGTGTGCACTCATGTATGGAAAGTCAGTAATGTTGTACATTGTAAATGTCTTTGAAATTTTACATATCTGTGAAATACTGTGTTTCAGCATGAGGCACGCTAGAATTTTGAGAAAAAATATGAGCATCCTACTACACTAAGCAAAGGTTTTTAGGGCTATTTATATAACATCAAAAACAGAGTGCCTTATCTGGTTAAAAGACAACCATTTAAAATTGTGATGAGCTCACTCTATGGTATTTTCCCCTGAGAACTGATGGGCTTTAGGATCCCTTCTATATCTCACACATCAGAGACTCACTCAGCTCCTTAGACAGTGCCCAACCCCTGGTAGGTTATCCCTCTATTAGTCCCCTGTAAACAAAGAAGACTCAGCTGACCTAAAATCTATGCCTCCTTTTCAGTGAATTATTCACAGTTTGGCCATTAAACAGCACCATCTGGAGCAGACAGGGAATTGAGCCAGACAGAATATCCTTTAAAGGTTCCCATTAGCATTACTTCTTTACTAAGGATAATTAAATTATGGAAATTTTCATCTGGTAACAGTTCTGACCTTACATTAATATAATATACTGAAAAAAAAATATTGCAATGCATTCCATTTTCTTGGAATCTTGGGCATCTGGTGAGCACTGTGCTAATTAAACTATGGTGTTACATTTATAAATAGGATTGAGGATTTTGTTATTCCATAAGAATGGGTTTCTTGTATACTTCACTCTCAGTGGTATCCTATGATTTGATTGTCATTACTGTGGATTCTAAAAGGTTTCCTCTTAAATTATTTATACCTAGGATCAGATTGCCTGGGTCAGAGTTCAACAAACCCATTCAAACCCATTATCCTTCACATCTTATCAAGTTGTATTCCTCTATTATGCATGATGGTCCGATGCAATGCTTCCTTTCAGCTCTGTGCTGTGCACATATTACATAAACATAAGAATAATAAGGAGAGCTTATGTTATGTTCCACAAATGGTGGCTGCATTGTGGCATTTGGCAGACTCTTATCCAGAGCGACTTACATTCATCTCATTTATACAACTGAGCAGTTGAGGGTTAAGGGCCTTGCTCAAGGGCCCAGCAGTGGCAGCGATTGAACTCACGACTTTCCGATCAGTAGTCCAACGTCTTAACCACTGAGCTACCACTTCCCGTATTTATTCCCATATTCCATATTCCAATGTTGCAATGTAACTAAAAAATAACAATTGGCTATTTCTGTTACGTGATTTGATGTAGCACTTGTTTTGAAGTGCCTAGTTTTAAAGCACACTAACAATACATTAGTGACCAGGAGCTAGCATGCAACTGCTAGCAGCCTTTTGCCAACTAGCCTGGTCCTCACACCAATTACCACATTATGAAATTGTTACCATGTAAAAGTAATTGAATTCACTTAGAGTGTTTATACAGAGACATTCAGATGGCGTGTGAAGGCTGGGTAAAGTAAATGAGGGAGTACTTTGGGCTGGAAAAGAAGGACAGATCCAAGAAGTGGAATGTTTTGTTGTTGTTTTTTTTGCATTACTAGTAGGAGAAGTCAGAACAAGTTACTGAGCTTACTTTTGGTTTCTTTTTTTCTTGTTTTCAGAAATCCTGCCAGCTCATAGAGGATGACACTGAACTAAAGAGCAGAAGCACCTCAGAGAAGAGCCTGAAGAGTGTCAGTTTCTTAGACCCGGTCAGTGTTATAAGTGGCGATAAGCTCGACATGGAGGTTGAAGTACAAAGCAAAAGCCAGCTTAATCATGCAACAAATGGCCAGAATGGTATGAAGCAAAAAGGAGAAGTGCTGGACGAAGGAGAAGTTGCCCAGGAAATACGCTATCTTGACGAGGTGCTTGAGGCCAACTGTTGTGACACCGGGGCTGAGATGACTTCAAATGGAACTTATTCCCCTGTGCTCCAAGCAATATACGTTGATGGAAATGGGCCATCTGTTCATGTTTCTGATGCATCATCCTCAATAAGTCATGAGGTAGTTGTAGAAGGAAAACAACAGACCACCTATGTTGAAGACACGGACAATCTGAACAGTTCCAAACCAAATGGTCATCCAGGAATAATGGGTGATGACTACAGTAGGTCACCTGATAAAGAAACAATCAAAAAAGAGGCCCGATTTGAGCTCCGTCCTTTCTATGAAGAGAAAAAGCCATCCAAGCTTTTTGATACACCAACAGAGAAAGAAATAAGGGTGAAAAAGGTCAGACCTTCAGAGGAGATTGCAGAGCTGGAGAGAGAGCGCTTGGAGCTCATTCGCGATCAAGCAGTCAAGAAAAATCCAGGAATTGCAGCAAAGTGGTGGAACCCACCACAGGAAAAGACACTGGAGGAGGAGCTGGAACCAGAAAAATTAGAGTCACTAAGAAGATATGAAGAGAGGAAGCAGAAGAGACCTGAAGCAAACCGAGTATCACAAACGTCCCCTAAACAAACTGTCTCCTTTGTCCAGCCTGAAATGGGAAATAAGGAGGACGTTGTGGTTCAGGGCATTGATTTTTCTGCAGCCCGCCAACAGTTCCTTCAGATGGAGCACAGTAAGCACCAACAACAACAGCAAGCCACAAAAAGAAGTGTGTCTCCCCAGATATACTCTGCCAAACCATTCTCCAGAACCTCTGATATTGATAGGTCAAGCTCCATTACAGTCATCAGCCATGGTAGAGTCACCCTGGAGGATGGCGACGAAATGAACCATGTCAAAATTGAAAGGGTGTTTTGTAGTACTGGAGATTCTCCCATACAAAGCAGGGACAGTATGTCTGACACTGAAGTGAAAAATGATGACTTTACCTGTGCCCGAGCAGTGATGACCATCCTCAAGGATGAAGACTCTGAATTGCACCAGCGATCCATTAACAGTTCCTGTCATCCCGAGGAGATAGACTCTGGATTAGATGACCTGTCTCTTAGATCTCAGGATACCACTATGCTTGAGACCTTGTCCAATGATTTCAGCATGGATAACATAAGTGACAGTGGCGCCTCCAATGAGATCATGAGCGCCTTCTTGGAGAGCTCCCTTGGTGAGTACTCTTTCCCCTCTACTCCACTGGCCACAACACCTATTAATGGAAAGCTGGAGGGCAGCACAAAATCACCAAGCTTGACAGAGGAGGAACTTGAATACCATGCAGGTATCTTGGTCCAAAATGCCATCCAGCAAGCTATTGCACATCAGACAAACAAATTGGAACCACTCCAAGCCATGCAGCAGTCCTCCCCAATCCGACAAGAAGAGACTTCAGAACCTTCACTGGCAACACCTGAAGAGAAATCTCCTTACATGCCACCTGATACAGAGCCATCCCCTGTGGAAGAGGAGAAAACCATAGCTCCTACAATTACTGTACAGGTGCCTAAAGCTCAAGCAACTTCAGTTATGACAGTGAATGCTAACAGGCCCCCAAGTCCTTCTCCGCCACCAAGTGAGAAGCCAGAGTTCAGCTATTTCAGTAAGTACTCAGAGGCAGCAGAGCTCCGAAGCACGGCATCTGTGACTCCTGCACAAGGCTCAGAAGTCACCTCAGGGCCTTTCAAACTGCGCTCACGCAAGCAGAGGACTCTATCCATGATCGAAGAAGAGATCCGGGCTGCCCAGGAACGGGAGGAAGAGCTTCGCAGGGAACGACAAGCCCAAAGCTTGCGTCCCATCATCAGTCCCATTCACAAGCAAAAGACCAACAGCCTTCCAGCCAAACTAGTCCTTAGTGGGAAGACAGCTCCAGGTATGCCAGTTCTATATTCTGTTCGTAGTGAATAATATTAGGGTAGCAGTTCTGCATGTTCTGCAGTTTAAGTGCACTCTGTGTATACTCTGACCTAATTCTTGTGCTAGCCTATATTTTGTGGCTATGTAAGGCAGATCTGCTAATGCTATTTAACTGAAAGCTTTCTACATTCTCAGTAATAATTTTCATAGTACTGAGATGCATGGCAAACATCTGTAAAATATGTATGATGAGCTGTTTGAAATGACTGAAGGTAACCAAAATGATATGGCCTAATTAATTAATATTAAAAGTCATTGGTCTAATTTGGCTCCATAACATTACCTTTAAATGAATAGCCACAAGTACACAAGTACAAGTCATAGATTTTGTTATAACTAAAGGATCATACCACCACCTGTAATACTTTAGGATCCCACAGAAGGTAGCACCAAAACATTGACCTAATTTGCATTATAGCCCAACATTTGACAGTCGTATTTCTGGATTCTCCTAGTTTTAAGATTTTTTAAAGAAGCGAGATGAGTTTATGAAAGTTGAATATACTTCCCCATAGGTCAGCAAGAGCCCCTCTTGCTAACTGCTTTTGTGGGCAGAGTTTAAAAATAAACGTAGAATGCTGCGTGTATCATTCCACTGTCTGGGACAAATGACTGCATTGAGTTTGTTGCCTTTGTTTGTGAAACTTTCAATCTTTCATTTATTTGGCAGCAAGCCTTCAAAAAGTTTTTAATAAATATAGGTTGATGGAAAACAGTTAATAGTATTTGTCACATTATTTATTGAATGGTAAGGAGTAATAAATGTGTTTCTCTTTAAAGCGCAATCAATTACTGCCCTCTGGTGGTGACAGAATGAATTGCACAATATTCTGAATCCCTTCGGTGGTGTTCTTTACAGTGGCAAAGACTCAAGGTCACTAAGGGTCACAAAGGGTGCCTCTGTACATCACACCAGTGTTAAAGAACCTTCAGTCAGTCCATATTTTTTATCTGTTTCAGATAACAACATACTTTTTAGGATTATGACTACAGAATGATGACTCTCTGGACCATGTGTTGGGAGCTGGTTGGAATACTAAAGTTAAATTAATGGGAGTAATCAAAGATAGCTTTAGAGGCTTTGGAACAAGTTATATTTTGTCACTTGTAGATTCTGTTGTTTTTCCATACTTAAAAAAAATCATTACCATTTAGAAATGTTTTACTCAATTATTGAGGTTAGGAGTCCAGTCATTGTGATTATAACATATTGTAAACAGGGATATTTCAGCTGTACTTTTGTAGGGATCCTACTGAACGCTACCTATTCGTTGTTTTACTGGGACATGATTTTGCATACAGTTGTATTAATAATTATCAGTCATCTTTGATGAAAACCATTAAAAACCGAGGTTATGCTAGAGATGTATTTTGCAGAATATCACAAAACAATCAAATCTTATTTTAAAATTTAAAACAAAATTTTCAAGTCACAGAATAGTAGTACAGTACAGTATTTACTCATATATCTTTACTCTGCTGCTACTTTTAACTCTCAAGATTGTGACAGTCATGACAAAACCCTGGTCTATAGGCCAACAAAGTCCTCCCATTAAAATCCCTTCGACTTAAATGAGGAATGGCAGTATAGAGCTACAAGCAAACGTTAAAAGTTCTCTCCCCTTCTCTGCTTTCTGCACTACTTACCATCAAGAATGTGTCTTACAGCAGCTTTCTCATTTTCTCTCCTCAATGTTATCTGATGCTGAAATGTGACTACCAACTGGAACATATTTTTTGTTGGAAAGATTCCAGTACAGTTAGGATTCATTCATTGTTAGTGAGGTATAAATTCACCAGCAGGAATCTTGAGCTAAGTAATAGTTATGTTAAGAGCTGTCTCTGTGATTTTGTCCTCTGGTTTCTCTCTCAAATTATGGTAACTCATCATTTGCTCTATTCACTGTAAAAATCTGCCTTCAATCTTGAAAAACTTGCTGAATGGCCTGAGACTGATGAAGTCATTTCTGTTTAGGGTGCATTTTTACTGTAACAACAATCAACATGCTTTATATATAAAGAAGTGATTCGGCTAATTTAGCTAGAAAATCTATCTGGTTCTGTAAGGCAGCTGCCGGTAAACATGGTACTAACTGTTGGATCCATTTGCTCCATTAGCATTACTGACCTACTCATTAACTTTTTCACTTAACATCACCTTGCTTTTTTACCCTCATTTACATGCTTTTCTACTTCCATTGGCTCAGGTAAAATTGAAAAGATCCGTGTTGCCCCGCCAGTATCTCCAGCTTCTTCAGAAGGTGCACTCCCATCCCCTCTTTCTGATCTGGGGAGTGATGACTCAGGTGGAAGCCAGCGGCCTAAAAACTTCATGCAGACTCTAATGGAAGATTATGAGACACACAAAGTCAGGCG